TGGGGCCTGTTGCGGGAGCAGGGGAAGGGAGAGTATCAGGAAAAATAGCTAATGCTTGCTGGGCTTAATACCTAGGTGATGGGTTGATAAGTGCAGCAAACCACCATGGCACACATTTAGCTATGTAATAAACCTACACATCCTGTACATGTACCCCAGAACTTAAAATAAAATAAAATAATAAAATAAAAATAGCTATCCCAGTTGATGTGAAGTGGTATCTCATGGTGGGTTTGTGGGTTTAAAGTGCATTTCCCTTAAGAGTAAGTATATTAACCATTTTTTTGTTTACTTATTGGCCATTTGTATATCTTCTTCAGAGAAACATCTATTCAAATTCTTTGCCCTTTTTTTTTTTTGAGATGGGCGTCTCGCTCTGTCACCCAGGCTGGAGTGCAATGGTGTGATCTCAGCTCACTGCAACCTCTGCTTCCCATGTTTAAGCGATTCTCCTGCCTCAGCCTCCCAAGCAGCTGGGATTACAGGTGCCCGCCTTCACGCCCAGCTATTTTTTGTATTTTTAGTAGAGATGGGGTTTCACCATGTTGGCCAGGCTGGTCTTGAATTCCTGATCTCAGGTGATCCACCTGCCTCAGCCTCTCTAAGTGCTGGGATTACAGCTGTGAGCCACTGCCCCCCGCTTCTTTGCCCATTTTAAAAATTGGGTTTTTTTTCACTCCAGCCTGGGTGACAGAGCGAGACTCTGTCTCAAAAAAAAAAAAAAAAATTGGGTTTAAAAAAAATTTTTTTTTATTGTTGGGTTGTAAAAGTTCTTTATAAATTTTGGAAATTAGACTTTTTATCAGTGTCATAATTTTTATTGCTATGGTTTCTGGAAATCTGGAGGTAGCAGTGAGCTCAACCAGTGGGGTGGGGGTGAGAGAGAGGACCACAGGACTACGCCTTTATTAAGGTCCATGGATGTTATCCCTTAGGCTTTCCCTCTGGGGTTGTGGATTGGCTAGTTTAAAGAAAACACGTGGAAAGAGGGAACTTATTTTTGCATGACTTATGTTGACCTTTAGGTTTTTTCATGGTCAGCACCTGTGAGATGTGTTGGGTTTGGGTCAGCAGGGTAAGGAACAAGTGGGCTGTATTGCAAACAACTACAAGGGGAAGGAAAGTTTTAACTAGGCCAACAGTAATGGGATATGACTGGACGTCAGACAACTTATGTCAGGCCTAAAAATGGATGCTGAGGCAGTGGCTATATTAAGCAAATTTCTGACAATCAGATATGATTTGCAAGTATTTTATCCCATTGTGAGGATGGTATTTTCATTTTCTTGATAGTCTCCTTTAATGTATACTTTTTAAAAGATAGAAGTAACAAGAGTTAGCATCCTTGCCTTGTTCCCAATCTTAGAGTAAAAGCTTTTCAATTTTTCACTGTTGAGTATGATATTAGCTGCGGGCTTTTTATATATGACTTCTGTTATGCTTAGGTAATTTCCTTCTATTCCTAATTTCTTAAGAGGTTTTTTTAAAATAATGAACAGGTGCTCAATTTTGTCAAATGCTTTTTCTGCATCTGTTGAGCTGATTATGTGATTTTAATCCTTTATTCTGTTAATGTGGAATATCACATTAGTTGATTTTCGTATGTTGAACTATCCTTGCATCCCAGGGATAAATCTCACTTGGTCATGGTATATGACCCTTTCCAAATGTTGTTGGAAACAGGGGAAACTCTTCATGACATGGGTCTTCGCAATGATTTCATGGATAATGACACCAAAAGCACAGGCAACAAAACAAAAAGTAAACAAGTGGGACTACATCAAACCAAAATCTTCTGCACAGCAAAGGAAACAATCAACAGAGTGAAAAGGTAACAACCTACAGAATGGGTGAAAATATCTGCAAATCATATATCAGATCAGGATTTAATCTGTAAAATATATAAGGAATTCTTACAACTCAATGGTAAGAAAAAATTAATAACCTGATTTAAAAATGGGTTAGGAACTGAATAGACATTTTTCCAAAGAAGACATATAAATGGTCAATAGGTATTTGGAAAAATGCTCAATGTCACTAATCATCAGAGAAATAGAAATCAAAACCACAATGAGATATCACCTTATACCAGACAGCATGGCTATCACCAAAAACAAAAAACAAATGCTAAGGAAGTGGATAAATTGAACCCTTGCTGTTTTGTCTCTCTAAACCCTCAAATCCTTGGCTGGAATTACCCCAAAAGCAGTGGCAGGGGGATTTCCCACAAGGGAGTCTCCAATTGTCCTGAGATAGGGCTGGCTGGAATACCAAAGAAAAAAACTCTAAGCTCTAGGGTGACCAGTCCAAAGAATGTATTAGGGAAACTTCCGTTCAGAGTGCTGCAGCAATCGCTGAGACAGAAAAGGAATGTTATACCCAGGTATGTCTGCAGCAAGGAGATCAGAGTCTGGAGTTTCTATGACAGTTTGAGAAATTTGGCTCAAGGCTAGGGGCCAGTTTCAGTGTTTTGAGCAACAACCCAAATACCTTTCTCAGTGCCTGGGAATGTTCAAGGCCCAGTTTGCGTTCAAGCCTGCTGAGAAAAACCTGTAGCCAGCCGGGTCACAGAGTAGTCAAAGTACTCTGTGATTTTTAGTGAGGGCAAAGAAAGAAAGTGGGAAGAACTGGATTACCATACACTTGCCCACTGTTGCTGGGAATGTAAAATGGTGCAGCTGCTATGGTAAATGCTATGGAGGTTCCTCAAGAGATTAAAAATATAACTACTGTGCTTGCTTTGGCAGAACATATACTAAAATTGGAATGATACAGAGAAGATTAACATGGCCCCTGTGCAAAGATGACATGCAAATTTGTGAAGTGGTCCACGGTAAAATAATAATAAATAAACAAATAACAACAAAAAAAAACTATTGTATGAGTCAGCAATCCTACTTCTGGGTGTTTATCCAAAAGAATTGAAGCCAGGTACAGTGGCTCATGTCTGTAATCCCAGCACTTTGGGAGGCCAGGCAGGCCAGGGGTTCAAGACCAGCCTGGCCAACATGGTGAAACTCCATCTCTACTGAAAATACCAAACAATTAGCCAGGGGTGGTGGAGCACACCTGTAATCCCAGCTACTTGGGCGGCCAAGGCACAGGAATCACTTGAACCCAGGAAGCAGAGGTTGCAGTCAGCTGAGATCACGCAATAGCACTCCAGCCTGGGCAACAGTGAGACTCCTCTGTCTCAAAAAAAAAAAAAAGAAAAAAGAATTGCTATCAAGATCTCAAATAAATATTAGTACCCTAAATTCACTGCAGCACTATTCACAATAGCCAAGATGTGGAAACAAAACGTCCACCACAATGAATAAAGAAAATGTGGTATATACATACAATAGAATACCATTCAGCCTTAAAAGAGAAACCCCTGATTTGTGACAACATGGATGAACCCTGAGGACATTATTCTAAGTGAAATAAGCCAGTCACAGAAAGACCAGTACTGTATGACTCCACTTTTAAGTATGCGGTATTTAAAATAGTCAAATTTGGCCATGTTGGGTGGCTCACGCCTGTAATCCCAGCACTTTGGGAGGCCGAGGCCGGTGGATCAGGAGTTCGAGACCAGCCTGGCCAACAAGGTGAAACCCCATCTCCACAAAAAATACAAAAATTAGCTGGGCATGGTGGCACATGCCTATAATCCCAACTACTCGGGAGGCTGAGGCAGGAGAATAGCTTGAACCTGGGAGGCGGAGGTTGCAATGAGCCAAGATCGTGCTGTTGCACTTCAGTCTGGGCAACAAGAGTGAAACTCCATCTCAAAAAAATAAAAAATAAGAAAAATAAAATAGTCAAATTCGTAGTATCAAAGAGTAGAATAACGCTTACCAGGGGCTGGGGTAATAGGAAAACAAGAGGTAACTAATAAAAGGCCATGAAGTTTCAGTCAAGCAAGAGGAATAAGCTCTAGAGATCTGCTGTACAACATTGTACCTGTAGTCAACAATAATGTATTGTACACTTAAAATTGTGTTCATTATCCTTAGCAAACTAACACAGGAACAGAAAATTCCAAACACTGGGGCTACCTGAGGGTGGAGGTTTGGAGGAGGGAGAGGATCAGAAAAAAGAACTATTGGATACTATGCTTAGTATCTGGGGGACAAAATAATCTGTACAACAAACCCCTGTGACATGAGTTTACCTGTATAACGAACCTGCACATGTATGCCTGAACCTAAAATAGAAGTTAGAAAATAATAAATAAATAAATCAAATGTATTATAACCTTAAAAAATTTTTTTTTCAAATAGGGTGAATGTCGACCAGGACACACAAGCACAAACTAAAAAAAAAAAAAAAGACGACAAAACTCAAACAGAGGATTGGAAATCAACTTTGCCAAGATTTGGATGATTCTGCCGTAGTTATTATAATAAGCAGACTGAATTGAATCATGTAATTTATTTTAAACTAATTGTAAGACAATGAAAATAAAGTTCAAAAAGACGTAAGGAAGTGATGGTTTTATTGGGCAAACTTATAGGGGTAGTGTATGAAGTCATTTCAAATAACAGATTAAGTTGCTTTCCTTGCAACTAAAAGCTTCAATTACTACATTTAAACTTTAATTTAACATTAAATCTACAATGTGAAGCACATCTACATGTGAAGTTTTAATTTCAGGTCTGGAGCAGCTGTAAAATGAAAGTTACCACTCCATTCTAGTCCTCGGATATCAGTATATTCCCCTTCACCTTCTACCCTGCAATAGTAGAAAATAAGTTTTTCATTAACAAAGACAAATAATTTACAGTCCAGATATAAGATTGTCTAGCATAATATACACTATGTCTGAAGCATTATATCTTTCACTTTCAAACTTTGCTTTTAAACCCAGCATCCTGCCTTCACATACTACAAAAAAAAAAGAAAAAAGAAAAAGAAAAAACAAGTACTATTCCAAACACACACAATCAATTATTTGGCGTCCAAGATTTTAGGATCACATAATCTAAGTTCATACAAAACCAAAACAATGAGTTAAAAAAATGAAGAGTTTACATTGGCTCTCTGGCTTAATTACTTCATTTATTCAACAAATATTTCTTGACCATCAATGATGTTTGAGGTGCTATGCCACTGTACCGGGCCTCCAACAATTTTTAGAAACTATATTATAAAAGAATATTTAGAATTAACTAAATATAGTATTTAAGCAGCTGGGCACAGTGATTCACACCTGTATACTCAGCACTTTGGCAGGCCGAGGCACGCAGATCACTTGAGGTCAGGAGTTCTAGACCAGCCTGGCCAACATGGTGAAACCCCGTTCCTACTGAAAATACAAAAATTAACTGGGTATGGTGGTGTGCACCTGTGGATCCAGCTACTTGGGTGGCTGAGGCAGGAGAATCGCTTGAACCCAGGAGGCAGAGGTTGCAGTGAGCTGAGATCACTCCACTGCACTCCAGCCTGGATGACAGAGTAAGACTCTGTCTCAATAAATAAATAAGTATTTAAGCAAATGTACCAGAAAATAATCTTTCAGAACTGCAGTGATTTTTTCTTTATTTTAAGCTTACCTATTTTCATTGAAATTTCCAATATACTTTGCCCCAGTTGGGAATGTGTAAGTCCCCAGTCCATGAAACATATTATCCTTAAATTGTCCTTCATATACTGCTCCTGAAAAATGCTCAAGTCTTCCAAAACCATTCATCTGTTTGTAACAAAGGAAATTACCTTAGAAACTAATCTTCAGTTTCCTAAGAACCTTTCAAAAATGTACAAATATAAGTCTATCATCTGCTAATTATTACTTAATCAACGTTGTATTGTCCTTTATTTCCATAGTATAAAGATAACATTTTTATCATTTTCATTCATCTGTGTCTATCTGTGAAGCCCACTAAATCAAATGTTCTGGATCTGGGGCATTTGAACATCAAGGGGTCCATGATGAAGATAATAGGGGTCCTCAAGATACCCTGAATGTATCAGAAATCTTAAAGGGCAACCAGTTTAGTTAGTTCAAGAAACCAGTACAAAATAGTTGTTAATAATTCAAATTTGGATTCAAGCAGACCAAGGTATACTTTCCTGTTTTATCATTTACTAGGTGGGCAAGAAACCTGAGCCTGATTTTCCTCATTTGTAAAATAGAGTATTAATGGTACCCAGCTCATGAGGGTGTTACGAGGATTAAATGAGAAAATTATGTAACAGATTCAGCTTTACTCAATGAATAGGAGATGAGAAAGATAATAACAATGATTAGCTCTCTGCAGTGAGTTTAATATTACTCATAAGTTAATATGTGTTAATATGATCATTCGTTATTTTTATTATATAGTCTACTCATTATAGGAGTTTTTAATTAATGGTGAAATGCCTGGAATCATTAAACCCACAGGGTTATTTATCCACTGCCAGTATTAAAAACAACAATACCTTGTCATCTTTCCAGCTTCCTGTGTAGACAATCCCATTAGGAGTGGTATGAATACCTATTCCATTTCTCTCATAGATTCCAGAAGATGTTCTTGTACAGTCGCCATCTAAACAAAGGAGAAATACTGAAGATTATAAATGAGAAAAGTTATATCTGGGCCTAATCGCAACTACACCTCATGGGTTTCTTTGGCTCCCTAGCACTGAAACCAGTGAGACCCGAGATGAGTAAATCCGTGGACGTACAACATCTTGTAACAATTGAGACTCAAAGGCCAGGAAGATTGACAGATCCCATAGGTTTCCAAGGCATATCGTCTAGAGTTAACAGTGGAGTTTTGATTTTAACATCTCTTTATCTATTAGGATTTCTGTTATCTTAGTTAATAAAGTTAAGATCCTAATAGTTTTACAAAATTTAAGTCTCTTTTTTTATTCTTAAGCTATTTAATTTTCTGTACAGAAAAAGTAATTGCAGTGTATGCTTACCATACTTGTCTCCATTTGGAAAGATAAAGGTGATCTTATACACTTCTGAAGCTGTTTTAAAAGATTTAAGAAAAATGGCATAAGTTTACTTTTTTTTGATAGAGGCAAGGTTTCACTATGTTGCCAAGGCCAGTCTCAAACTCCTGGGCTCAAGGCATCCTCCCGCCTCAGCCTCCCAAAGTGCTGGGGTTGCAGATGTGAGCTACCACATCCAGCCAAACGTAAATATTCTTATGTCATAAGACCTATAACCAATGTGCTTTCAACACTATCCAAATGGACTTACTTCTCAAGATCACAGCATATCATGATTACTTGGCATTTCCATTGTCTAATGTAGGGTCCTGGGGAAATAAACAATTTTGCCTACATGATCTCCTTTAAAATTTATTTATTATGATAGCTTTATTAATATATAATTCACACACCACAAAATCTACCTTTAAAAGATACAATTTCACGTTTTTTAGTAGATTCAGAGTTGTGCAACTATCATCACAATCTAATTTTAGAATATTTTCATTATCCCAGAAAGAAACTCTGTACCCATGAGCAGTTACCCATTACAATTCCCCTCAAACACCCCTCACCCCACAACCCCAAACCCCTGGCAACCACTAATCTACTTTCTGCCTCAAGGATTTGCCTATTCTGGATATTTCCTATAAATGAAATCATACAATATGCGGTCCTTTATGTCTGGCTCTTTTCACTTAATGTTTCCAAGGTTCATCCATGTTGTATCGTGTATCAGTACTTCATTCCTTTTTATAGCCAAGTATATTGTATAAATATGTTGTACAGAAATAGCATATTTTGTTTATTCATTCATCAGTTCATGGACATTTAGGTTGTTTCCAGTTTGGGGCCATTATGAATAATACTGCTATAAACACTGATGTAAATTTTTAAAACATACAGCTTCCTAGGAGTAAAAAAAAAAAATTGGTGTACAAATTTTTGTGTGGATATGTTTTTATTTCTCTTTGGTAGCCCATATGGTTTACTGATTGTCCCACAGAGGTAAGGCGGAGTGAGGAATCTTTAAATTGGCAGTAGGAAGAAATGGAAAATAAAGATAGCAAGTGGGGAAGGGCTGGTAGGTCCACACAGAATGAGAATGGTATGGAGACCAAGTGAAAAAGGAAGAAAGAGGACCACAAGACTGAGGGGGATTCTGGGCCTCAGATCCCTGGACACTTAGTGGACTAAAACATTAGAAACTGTATTTTCCGATACTGAAGAAAGCTTATGTAGAGAAGGTATGCAGGCATATCCTCTGTGGCTCATCCTTCAGAATCACCTGAGATGCTTCTAAGTTTCTTCTCTCTACCCCACATCTACTGAATCAGAGTTTTTATGGGTGGGGCAAGGGAATTTAAAAATTAATTTAGGTGCCAGTTGAGAAAGGCTAGAGGTTCATCCCCTCTGAGGAAACAGAATTAACACAATAGGTAGAGGACTTAAACTGTAATATCCTCAGAGAGAAAGGGAGAGTATTAGTATCTTTGAGATAGGAACAGGTGATTATAAAAAACAAAGAACAATTAGCAATCCAGGAAATGAATAATATAATTGGTGAAATAAAACTTCTTAGAAGGGATGAATAGCAGAATAGATACAGTTGAAAACAAATTAGTGAACTGGAACATTAGGTTGAAAAATGTGCTTAGAAAGTAGCACAAAGTGCGAGTGAGATGGCTGGAAAAATATTTTTTTTAATTAAAAAAAGCAAGTAGCACAAGGAATTTTAAAATAATGGAAAGTGGATCCAAAATGCTACTGTCAGTCTAATAAGAATTCCAGAGGGAAAGAATAAGAGATATTTGAATAAATACCCAAAAATTTCTCAGAACTGAAGAAAATGACTGTTTGGACTACAAATGGGAACTAAGCAAAATCCCACACCTAGACAGGTTACAGTAAAATTTCATGACATAAAGACCAAAGGCCAGTTAGGCTAGTTAAAAACAAGCAAACAAAACCACATTACCTACAATAAACTACAAAGGACTGACATTAGCAACAGTGGATTCTAAAAAAAAAAAAAAAAAAAAAAAAAAAAAAAAAAAAAAAAATGGCACTTAACCCAGTGTCTAAACTCTAAATACTAGCTATTGTTTTCTTGTAGCCCCAGGTCAGGTATGGGCTCTCCCACAAAGCCTTTCTTCAACCTCAGACTCCTTCAGGAGCCCTCACAGCACTCTGGGCCTATTCCTACTGTCGTACTTAGGGTTCTAGTAAAACCATGGCTTTGTACCGGGATCCCCTATCCCACCCAGTTCCTCCAGCCCACGAATGGCGGATTAGTCAAATCTCTTCTCACCCTACTGTCCGACTCCGTGTTTAGTACTAATAGTAACAGAACGTCTAGTGAATGAAGGGCACTTCGGAAGCAATCGTTAAATGCCTATGAAGCAGAGCATTAAATGTAATCATATCAGAAACTGGACTGTTTTCAATTGCCGCTAAAATGTTCTACATTCGAAACTTGGGAATGTCAGAGCTAGAGGGAACCTCACAGAGACCGCCCGGCACCATAGCGGAAACTGAGGCCCAGGGAGGTTGGCACGCGCCTCGGGTGTCTCAACAGCGACAGATCAGAGCTAGATTCTCAGACCAAGGGTTCCCCCGTGCCCCTCGGCTAGACGGTTAGGAAATATGTCACACCCCTACAGGAGTTACCGGAGGCCAAGCAAGTTCTGACTCCACGCTAGTTCGACTTAAAGGAGCCCTTCACTGCCCGGGTCGTTGGGAGGATGGGCACTCACTTGGCCGAGAGGTGTTAGAGAGATCTTCCAAACTCTGCGACTCCCCCTGGGCGGCCAGCTCTGCAGCCGGGAGAGAACTAGGCGCTAGGACAGCTCCAGGTGCGACTTGGTTGCTGGGGCGACCGGGCACCTCTCACCCGGAAGCGAATACGCGAGGGGCTGAAGCTGAGCCAATCAGAAGGCGCCAGGGCTGTGCCGCTGCAGCTGGGCCACCGCAGGGCTGCTCCAAGTGAGAACCGGGAGGGTGGCCAAGCCCTGTGGGGACCTCTGACCCTTGGGCAGCACCTCCCGACAGCTGGCTCGGGACCCAACTCTGCGAGCCAGGTACGTCTTCCACTTCTGCGGACAAGTGATGCGCGTTGTGCGTACGGTCTGCGCGTCGCCCTGTTTGTCAGTGTGTCTGCCGCCTCCTGCTCCAGGAGTGGTCGGGATCTGAGGAGCATCGCGGCCCAGTGTTTCATCCTGTCTGCCTGGGGCCGGTGAATCTGGACCAGCAGGATCCCAGGCCCCGGGACCGGACCAAGGCGGAGCTCTGCCGCTGAGGTTGTGCACGCTCAAACTGCAGTGCGGGGGCGGTGGGGCTAGGAGACGAGGCGTGAAATTCAGGTTTGGAGCAGGCTAAGGGATTGATTGAAGGGGTCAGGCTCCGTTCCCTGTCTCTGTCTGTGTGGCTTTTTTGGGGAGAAGGGTGGGGACGATGTGAGTTCGAAAAAGGATGCGAGATCTGGATATCTGGATGGAGCTGGTTATATTGTGATCAGTCAGAGATCTGCCTGGGAGGAGGGTAGTGTGTAGTCACTTTTCAGTGCCTTGGCTGTCAAACAAAGAATACTCTTACAGCCAAACTTAGGTCCCTGTATCCATGGTGAAGAAAGATAGTTGGAATCTTCCCGGGCTAGATGGAATAAATAGTGGAATCTAACCACGTGGATTATACAACCTAATTCCTATTGCCTGGAAAACTCTGGGAGAGTGGTATTGGATACCATTACAGTCAGCAAATCTTCGTTTAAAATTTTGAGCGCATATCTCAGATCTACTTGTAAAAGTAACATTTTCTGGATTGATGTGAGACAACTTGTTTTGAATCAGAGTAAGTATCCTCTTGCTTTTTCCTAATGTTTCTCAGTACACAAATTTACCTGGGCTGCATGGTTTTTGAGAGGAAGTTCTAATCTGTCTGTTTGATTTATTTCCTTTCCGTAAATTTTAGAAATCATAGGTAATTACTGATGCACAACCTTACAGAATTCAGTTTGACCTGTTATTTTTCTTGCCTGTTAAAATTTTAATGACTCTACATTTTTGTGAGTAAAGTTGACATTTGAACAACATGGTTTTGAACTACACGGGCCCACTTATGGGTGGATTTTTTTCCAACCCAACACAGATTGAAAATACAGTATTTCAACTAGGCACAGTGGCTCATGCCGGTAATCCCAGCACCTTGGGAGGCCAAGGTGAGAGGATTGCTTGAGCTCAGGAGTACGAGACCAGCTTGGGCAACAAAGCGAAACCTCATCCCTACTAAAAAAAA